TGACAATAATAAATTCTCTATATGTTTGACAGGATTCAATAGCTGCAGTAAATGCTACTACGCATTTAAAACTTTCTCTTCACGGACTGCTATCTTAACATGAGCAGCATATGACAGCTAACCTTCGAGTTTACCTGATACACCAGAGGGCCATCATGGCCTCAGGCCAAGTTTTTTATTATGTGCAATTGTGCCATTAAACTGTATGCTATACCTTCTAGTGGTTCAATCTTACCTGGAGCAATCTTATCATCCACATCTCTCAATCCCATCTATTCTACAGCAGCTGCCAATTTCTTTATTGAAGGTTTACCATACTTATCAACATTATAATTCCACCTCGACCAGAGAGATAGACAACCTCTAAGACATGCTTTAGCATCATGATAATTTGCTCCAACTGTATCAAGCTCTGGCTGACTGATGTGCAGTTTAAGACCCAAGTCTTTCCATTTGTCCTCTGGAAAGGTATTCCTTTCCAATGCACTGATAACATAACTTAGATCACTAATATCTATAAACATAATGTTTGATATAAGCAGCAACTGTATGAAAAGGACTGACTTAATGTCATAGATTCGATAGATTCATGGCCAGCCATTTTCACGAACTATGCAATCAGTGAAGCGAATAATCATGTGATTTTGTTATCACAACAACTAATGAATGATATTAAATACAATAGACACAAAATTATATAAGCTAAGTTTGCTCATGCATATTATTATAAGCCTGTAGTCTTTTCCCACTGGCAAATAATGAATAGATGATGCAGCCAGAGAATGAGACAGCAGATATCATTAAGAAGACATAAGACCAGTTGTTGTATGAGTGTAATAAATGACCAACTAATGACACACCAAATACACCTGAGGAGAGAGAGAGAAAAGACATAGGAATAAAAAAGGATAAATATAATAGAAATGTGACCATAATTGACAAAAGGGCCCTTATGGCAGATTTTAAAATTGATCTTAATAATGGCAAATATCAACCTGTGAGTGCTTTGTTAGACAATCATTGTTTCTAAAAGTTTCATGGTAACTTTTTGCATCCTGTGGAGTAATTTTATGATAAATGGGGCTCAGGAAGTTGGATTTCTTAGGCTAGAAAGACAAATTTCACTACCCGCCATAAGGTACCTTTTGTCAATTATGGTCACAAATTATTTAAAATCTGCCAATTAATTTAAAGTTCCTTACATGTAAATTTAGCTCATACCAATACATGCATGCACTGCTACTCTGTTACTGTATAGCTCCTAATTTTGACGGCCAAAAATTTTCACTGATATTTCAATAATCATGAAAATTTTAATCACAAGAAATACTGGTCACCATTTCACAAATATACATAATTTCAGGAAAATTACAAAAAAATTTTTACAAAAGAAATTTGGAGCTATACAGTAATTCACATTCTGGTACTGTACCAATAAGAGCAGAGAGTCCACTCATAAGACCATAAAGGAGTCCACTATAAGAAGGAGCTAGGTCTATTGAATTGATGGTAACTCCTGATATTTCAAACCCTTGAAAGAACAGGGCAGCTACAACAAGACCCAGACAGACATTGAAGTCAGCTAAAGGTCCACTCTGACAAGCAATGGCTAGAGAAAAGAGACAAAGAGAAGATCCAGCTAGTGATAGTCCTTCCATTAACTTCCTTGTAGTTGTAATACTAGTACCTGAGGAGGGAGAGGGAGGGAGGGAGGGAGGGAGGGAGGGAGGGAGGGAGGGAGGGAGAGAGAGAGGGAGGGAGAGAGAGAGAGGGAGGGAGAGAGAGAGGGAGAGGGAGGGAGGGAGAGAGAGAGGGAGAGGTAGAGAGGGAGGATATATATACTTTACATGTACATGTACTTGCATGCATCATGCTCTTTACTTTACTGTACATGAATTTAATTCAAACTGACATCTAAAAGTACCATTTATCATATTATGTATGGTACATTATCATTGATCATTATTATCATTTCAATGGATAAACATGTACCTTGTTGTATTAGTCGATTAGATATCCATCCACCAAGAGTAGCTGAAATACCTTTAGCAATCCACGGATAGACATTGTACATCCATGCCTTTAATAGAGAGAAAGGGAGTAAAATCAGTTCCTTACTGTACTGATATTATGTAGAAAAATACCCTGTACAAGTACATCAAATATAGCCCATGTTTTTTTTTGAAAAATGGCTCCGTAATAAAATGGCTTAAATTCTTATTACATTTTCTGATATTTATTGACCTTTTTATGCTGTGTAAAAAGTTTGAGCTGATTCCAAGCTCAAATTTTTGAGTTATGAGCATTTTTTTAAAATTACCCTGTACTATATATAGCCCATGGTTTTTTCTGAAAAATAGCTCCAAAATCACTCCAAATTTTTATCCCATTTTCTGATATGCATTGATGTAGAAACGTTTGAGCGTGATTCCAAGCTCAAATTTTCAAGTTATGACCATTTTTTAAAATGGCCAATTTCGAAAAATTACCCTATAG